GAGCGCCGCCGCGCTTCCCAAGCGGCGCACTATCCAGTGCGCCACTGGGCCGGCCCAAAAGTTGATTCTTTGAAAATGTTAATAATATAATAAATCCCTAGCATAACTGATAATTTAAAAAAGAAGAAAAATAAAATTAACAATATCAGGACTATAAAAAAGGTCATTTTTTACAGCACTGCAGACATTAAAAAAAAGATGTAATTTTTAAATCTTTTAAAAACTGCAATGAAGTGACATTTATTTCAGGAAAGTAAGGGTAATTTAACATTTGAAAATTAATCAATTTAATACACCACATTAACAGAAAAAGAAAAACAAAAAAAGTAGGAGGAAAGACATATGACCATCTTGATAGTGCACTTGATAAAAGTGAAGTCACTTTTTAAAAAAATTGTTATCAAGCCAGATATTGAAAAGTCATCAAAAAACATCAACCACCTAGGAGTACATCTAAAAAAAGGTGTGTAAAACCTCTACTTTGAGAACCACAAAATATTAAGAGACAGGAAAGATGATCTAAATAAATGGAGGAAGAAAGCATTGAGTTCAAATCCTGACTCTGACACTGGACATACTACTTCACACAAGTTATTAAATAAAACTTCCTCGGCTGTAAAATAGGATTAAAAATACCAACCTTCCCTAATTGTAAGAATAATTGGAAATAATATATTTAAACTGTAAAATCCACAAGCATTCAATCATTATTTCTATTTGGGCATATTTTCTGTGACTGCTGGGCCACAAGGGATCATTTCCCTCTTATACGTGGCATATTCCCTTCTGCACCCATCTCCCACACTCACAAACACGTTTACCTGTTGTAATGAAGTGATCGCATCACCAGGTCTTTCCATTTTACTATAAACTTTAGCTAGAAGAACTTGAGAACGTCCATCCTCCATGAGAGCTGACAGTTCATTTACTATGAAAGAATGAAAAGCAATGGGGAAAAACACTCATCTTAAATAAATGTTTACATTTTTCTATAATTTTTAAAACTGGTCTTTAGAATAAATGATTTTGAAAAACACTAAAGTTAAAATTTTTTCAGTCAGTTGAATGGACAAATTTAAGAAAAAGATTTATCATAAAAACTGGATAGAAGAAAAGTTAATGGACTAGATGCAACTAGAGGTTTTTCTTAGACATATATAGACAACAAACAACACGAATAAGAATTTCAACTTTTACTCTTAAGTGTATAAAAATTTCTGTTTATTAAAGTCAAAAGAAGATAGAGTTGTTGCTACATGCAATTAAGAAGATAACTTCTCTTTTTTAAAAATAGGTACTTGATAAGCAATAAAGTACAGTCATTAAATGCACTGACTTTGATGCCAACCAGTCTGATTTCAAATCTAGGCTTTACCACTTTCTAGGCACTTAATCTTGAGCAAGGTACTTAACCATTCTGTCCTTCCCTCTCATCTGGAAAACAGGAAAAATAATAGTGCCTATCTCATAGCATTGGTGTAAGATTTAAAAAGCTAGTAAGTTATCAAATAAGTTATATCATATGCAAAGCAATTCAAATAAAATCAGGTATACCATAAGTGCCGTTTAAATATCTGGTAAATACCAAATATTTTATGATCTAAGAGTAATAAAAGAACCTAGATAATTAACAAAAATAAGTCTTTCTAAATAAGTTTATCGAGTGCACGATCCATTGCACACCCATTGTACAACAGGTGTTCATATACATTATTTCTTTAAAATTTCAGCCTGAGAGCAGATTTTATCATCATTATTTTATAGGTAAGAAAGGTTCTAAGGTGGGCACAAGGAAAAACAAGGAAGCTGTGTGGGTGACAGGAGGATAGAGGGAGAGGTCAAAGAAGCACGGGCAGGTGGGTGTGAAGGGCCATGTAAGCCACTGTGAAGACGTGCTTAACTGAAGAAAAGGAACAGGGGTGAGCGTGAGCAGACATGATCAGATTGACATTGTTTAAAAGGCTTAAAGCTGCTGCTGGATTGAGAGAGGCTGTGGCGGGGTGTGGCGTTGAGGGTGGAAGCCAAGAGACCAGCGAGGAGGCTGCTGTAATGATCCAGTTAGGAGATGATGGAGGCTTGGCCAAGCGTGATAGTAGTGGAAATTGTGAGAAGCAGTAGGATTCCAAACATATTCAGAAGGTAGAGTCCACAGCATTTCCTAAAGGCAAGGGTGAGGGCAAAGACTTTGGTTCTCAGCAACTACAAAGAAAGATGAAGTTGTTATTAATGAGATGAAGGAGGCTGCGTGTAAAGAAGATTTGGGAAGGTAGATCAGGAATTCAGTTTTAGACATGTTAGGTTTAAAATGCTTCTTAGAACCTAGGTGCTGCTATTTAGCTTAGTAAACCTGGACACATTAAGAACACCGAGTCTCAGACTGCTAATTTAAAACTGGGAATAATTATATTTACCTTAAAGATTAATGTGAATACTAATATAATAATACATGAAATGTATATGAAGACACCTGAGTATACCACGGTGTGTACTCAGCAAATATTTATTAAATGAAAGCATTTATATTATGTAAATGTAATATACTCAATATAAGTAAGACATATAATAACTAAATCTCTCCCCCACAACCTTCTCAAAATGCATATCGACATTTAGGCCTTATGAGTGAATCAAAAGAAGGTCTGACAGACCCATGCACATATTTTTATGGAACTAATGACACTTTATACAATAAATGCATTCATAATTAGGAGAATTTAAGCACCAACTTCATCACAGCTAATTAATCACATCACATTTTGGAAATATTAGAAAACCTGGAGTGGGCTTGTCTAAATTATGTATCTAAACATATTTTAAAGCTACAGTAAACATGGTATTGGTAAAAGAAAAGAAAAATACCTTAGTGGAACAAAAAAGATTCCCATAATCAGAGTCATACATGAGTATATGAAGGAGTTGACATGATAAAGGTGGCATTTCAATAAATGGCACTAAAATAAAATTGGCTATCCATTGTGGAAACTATATAGTAAAAATCGTATGTAGACTAAAGTACACGGTTAAAGTTTTCAACATAAAAATTACAACAACAAAAATGACAGAAAAATATATGAAAATATCTTTATAACATTAGGTTTAGGAAAGCTTTTTCAAAGAATTCCAAGAAATTCAGAAGTCAAAAAAAGAAAAGACAGGCAGAAATAATGTATAATTAAATATTCTATCTAACCAAAGATACAATAAAAAACATCTTATAAAGAAAGAATAGCCTGGGAGAAAACATCTAAGACATGAAAAACAGGTGAAGGATTAAAGACAAACGATGTAAATGAACAATTCCTAGAAGAAAACACAGTCTATAAACAAAATAATGCCTAACCTTATCAACTCATCAATCTTTAAAGAAATGCAAATTAAAATGTTTTTTTTTTTTCCCCCCATGATTAATACTATATAATGCTGGGAAATTTTTAGCCTTAAGAAAACATTGGGGTACTTCCATCCTAGGAAGGCAAAAACCCAATTGTAAGCAGTACACAGAGGTATACAAGGATTTTATTTCAGTACTGTTTCCACTTTCCTCTAATCTGAATGTCTATTAACAGGGGACTCATCAAGTAAATTATGATGTTAACATACAGTGGAATACTCTACGTATGATAAAAAATAAAGAAGAGCTATATTTACCAAAAAGGAAAAAAGTTATTAAAAGGAAACTGCATATTGCAGAATTACAGTTATACTATGATCCATTTAGGTAGAAAAAAGTGATATGTAATTGTGTGTGTATGAGAGAGACAAAGAGATGGGGATGGGGAGACCAATTAGGATGATATACAAGTTGTTAAATGTGGTTTTCTCTGAAGAGTGTGAGAGGACACAACTTGCATTTACTTCTGTAATCTTTAAATTCTGGCAATGAGAAAGCATTAGATTTTATTAAAAAATAAAGATCTTAATAAAGTAAATTTGTGCAAACTTGTAAGAAGGCAATTTGATAGTATTCACAAATGCACAAACCCTCCCACTCAGCATCCCACAAGTAAGTATACACCAAGAAATAAGATACAAGGATATTCACTGTAACATGGTTTACAGTATCAAAACAATGGAAAACAAACTAAATGCCCAGTAATTCAGGGAAAATTAAATAACTTGTGGAGTTATGAAATATTATGATGCTGTGAGATTGAATGATACGGATACACTGAAATCAAGCTATATCTGGGACATGTGGACAGAAAAGATTGCAGAAATAAAAAGAACGATACATTTTTCAAAAGAAAAATTACACTAACTACAATTACACACACACACCTATAAAATACACATTAAAGCACAAATTGCCCAAGGGAAAGTGCAATTTGAAGGAAAAACAGGTGACTTATAAATTACATTCTTTTACAGTACTTGAAGTTTTAAAAAGAACCATGTGTTACTTCTTTAAAAAGTAAAGATTATAAAAATGTCAGTGTTTAAACACTGGAGGTAGTTGCAATTCACAGATATTTTATATCATTTTGGAAAGTAAAATATCTTTCTACAATACCATTAACTGTTTCATATATCTGTTATTAGATTTTAAAATACTTCATTTTTAGTAAAGTGGCAACTGATAAGAAAAAATACATATGCATCTATATAACCAACCACACATAATTACAAACACATATTTATATAACATAAAAACAAAATAGATCAGATTTATCACATATACTTTTTTGAAATCAGAAAAACTTTCATACCAGGTTCATGAGCTAGAACATGTTGAAGAACTTTTTCTGCTTTGTCATACCATTTCAATTTTAATAAGAGCTCAGCCAGGTCATAACAAAGATAATTCTGTTGTCCACTTTTTAGAGCAGCTTCATAATAAGTGATTGCCTAAACAAAATCCATTTCAGTTAGGAAAAAAAAGGCAATGAGAATAGCATTCAAGCATAGATATTTTATAAATTACAAACTTAAAGCATATACATAATTGGAAATAATGTAAGAAGGATCATAGGAGTGTACCTGTACTATCAGTTAAGTGTACCATTTTTCTTAGAGAATCAAACATCACACAGGCGACTAACATTTCTTATGCTAAGTGGCTAAAGATCAGTGCTTCGCAAAAAAAAAAAAAAAATTACAGGTTTTATTATACAGGCCAATGAACCTACTGAATTCATATACTTTGACAGCTACTGAATATATGTTCAACAGTTACCAGGAACAGGGAAAGAATATAACAGTTAAAGAAACATCTGTTATTTCTACTAGAAAAAATTAACTCAAAGCACATAGCTTGCCAAAACTGGATCAAAAGAAAGGACATTTATCATGTTTTGTCATATAATAAAAGAGATGTAAGAATAGCAACTTTATGATAACTGATTTGGTGGCAAGGATTTAGGTGCATGATGAAGTCTGAAATGATCTCTAGGGAGAAAACAACCTTCACAAAATGAAGCAAGGAAGAATTTGAGACACTGAGAAAGCCTTTAATGCAAATCCCAATTCATGAATACAAATCTGGAATTCACAACCATCAAACATGCAAATGATGCTTGCTGAAGACTTCTCTAGAGCATGGATTAATGCATTTGATCCAATAAACATATCTCAAACTATACAGTACTTACTTTTGAATAGTTGTGAGTTTTCACAAGTGCTTTCCCAATTTTGCTTGCCAACGTTCCATCTTTTGGGTTCTGATTTAATGCTTGCTCATATGCTACTATGGCTTCTTCAGGCTAATATTATCAGGCACAAAAAATAAGTAGTAAAAACAGCTTAAATGGATCCCATTAAAAAGCCACATTCTTACAATGAAGCTCTATATTTGGAATACTTCATAAGACTAAACACATAATGAAATTCAGGAACCTTAGCAATTTCAGAAAGGTGATAGCAAGGAAGGTAGGTACAACTTATTAGTGTAATCCCTCCCATGTCAACTGTGCTCCTGTCTACATAAATAACAATATGGGAACTAGGCGACAGCTTCTTTGCTTTTAATGTCTGGCAGTCCTCATAACGACCAGCTACAGGGAGTTGGAGGATTGCTTCCCTTTGAAGAAAATACCATCTTAGCCAGTATATTTCTTCATCTTTCTGTTTAAAGGAGACTCCTAATGCTTCTGGTATTATCTCTTTTTCAAATAACGATAGTGCTGAATTACTGAATCTCAATTTGAAAAGAGAAGAAAAAAAAGTACTTTTTAAAATTATAATGGACATCTCCCTTTTATTGTGATGATTGGATCTTCAAATGTTAAATAAATGTTATCCAAAAAACAAATTCCTTTTAATAGAAAGTTATACTAATCACAAAGAATTTTTTAAAAGTCTAAGTTCAGTAGCATCAGAAATTTTACCTCTTGAATATTCATGTATGCATCACCAAGAAGAAGAAAAGACCGAGAGTTGGGCATTCTTTCAGCAATTTCTCTGGAAATCAGACCAATTCTTCTTAATATATTGGATACAAATACCTTCTTCTAAACCAATAAAAGGTAAACTCATTTATTTCAATTAGCCAGTAGCCTTCAGAGTACCTTCTACATATCCAACAGTGTAGTAGTATTGAAAAAACTCACCCATACCAACACCCAGACTGCTTATGCTAGATCAATTATTTTTCATCGAATCTTTCCATTTTATGAAATGCAGGAAACAGAACACGGGTAGATATAAACACATAAATTCTCATTATCCAGTAATACATGTTTTGCTATCTTTAATTCTGAAATGATGTGGGAGTGAAGGTACCAAGAAATGATGGAAGGAATAAAACCTTATTATCCTCCTATGCACCTTGAGCTCCGATATTCATGCTGTAAAATTATATAGTGGGTTACTTTAAAAATACAAAATCTTCCATTTCAATATTTGCTGCTTATTTTTTACCAGCAAATTTTAGACAGCTAAAGGTCAAAACACTAAAGGTATTTGAAAAATAATGCAGTGCCTAAATCTTTAACATATAATATCTCATCTAATTGGTCCAAAAACTCTATGAGAAAGATATTATCCCAACTATGCAAATGATGTTAAAAGTTAAAGGTACAGCTAACGGGTCAGATCTGCCTGAAACAAAAATTTATGCTTTTAACTATTATATTATAGTGCATCCAAAACAAATCAACCCTATTTTAAAATATTTTCATATCACTAGAGATGATAGTGCTGACCGTTTTGAAATAGCTTAAAAATATGATCTAGGAACTCCATTCCATCCATCTAAACATGGGGTGCTGCTCAGTTTCTCTGACTCATTCAGCACTTACAATGAATCTTAGCTGCTTTCTGAACATTGATATTTATATAATACGGATATACTAGTACTGAATTAATTCATCAATACTATGTTCTCAAGAGTTAATTTTCTCTTCCATGGAGTATGTCCCGCCCTTTCACCAAGAAAAATTTGTAATCCATACTACAGTGTGGTGCATATTAAGCCATAACTGTCTTTTGCTACAACTGCTACACTGTCTACTGAATATCTCCTAGATTGTTACATTAAATAATGCTCTTAAAGTTACTAGAATACATGTAACTGTTACTCTTTCCCTTCTCAAACAGGAAGATTTGGGGTCTAGAAATAACATTTGATGAGGAGAGCTGAGAAACTAGAGGAAGGCATAGTTTGAAATAATCATAACTATGTTTTAGGGAAAGAAAATAACTTCATTAGAATGATTGTGGTTGGTGGTAGAAGAAGGCAACAAGACAACATTAAGGAAAGAGTATATAAAGTATCTGTAAAGCAATTGAAAGAAGACAAAAAATATGTACTTGGGAATTAATTTGAGAAGGTAAATGTTTCAAAATATAATGTTTCTAAAATAACTATTTACCTGTAACAAGTGATATATAATATTTTCTCTTTTCTGTGCTTCAGATAAATATCTGCCATTTTTTCTTTAGCCTCTATAAAATAAGGCTGTTCGGTAGTAACATTTCGAAGCATGCTTAAAGCCCGCTGAACATCTCCTTGGGCCAGAGCCAGGTCTGCGTTAGCAATAGTAACACGCAATTCTTCAGATGTTCCAGAAAATTCATGGATGGCATCTTGTAAAACTTTTGCTGCCTCATGCTGTAAAGATGAAATTCAAATATCATCGTTTCAAAATATTCAACTAGAAATAAACAGAACGAATAATAAATGCTACTAGAGTTATGGTATTTGTGAAATAAATTGATAGATTTTCTAAAAAGTACAGAAATTTAAAACTAAACTCAGAAACCAAAATGAGATGAGGCTATAAATATTCGTTAGTTGGATAAATGTTTTCACAACTAAGACAACAGCAGTTGCTACACAGTCACTGCTACTACAATTTAATAAGCATTTGCTTTGTACCCAACTCATTGAATTATTTATTAGTTGATATTAATATAATATGGATATACCAGTACTGAATTAATTCATCAATACTTTACTATGTTCTCAAGAGCTAAAAGCACTAATTTTCTCTTAAATGGAGTATGTCCCGCCCTTTCACCAAGAAAAATAAATATAATTCTCATAAAATCCCTCTAAGATAGTAACTATTATCATCCCCACCTTGCAGTAAGGAAACAGATTTAGAGAGTTAAAAAGTTTAACAAAAGATAGAACTAGAATTCAAACTCAGGCAGTCTGTCTCCAAAGCCTAACTTCTTAGCCATGTTCACTGCTAACCCTGGTGGGACCCAGTCTGGCACCACTGCACAAATTGGCTCTATTCGCTCTTTATTATGTAGATTAATTTATTGTCTCTACTAGAACATCATTTTTCTTATACCTCAGATGAATATATTACCTCATTTCCAAATTTGTACCTCAATGGATCTAAAATGTCATTTAAGGTTCATCTCAACGTTGGAGATCACCAGACATTGATTTCAGAAATGTTAAAATGTGAAAAAAGTGCACCTTAGAATCAACCATATGTGGTAGAATACTAAATATACTTTAAGTTAATTTATTAGTGAAATAGAAATTCTTTGTGATTTGGTAAGTATATGGAAATATGGCCTTCTTAATTTTCATTAAAATATAAAAATAACTGATCAGCCACTGCTATATTCTAAAAAATTGATACGATTGACTTTAAGTTCCTCATCTTGTACAAGGCTTTAATTCTCTCAAAACTACATTTTTTGTATCCATCTGCCTGTCTGTATCTCTTACTATTTTTTAAAGTACCTGACTTTATGATATTCCTTTGAGTTTATCAAAGCTGTATTCATCAAGCATTTTATTTTCTCAATTATTAGAATTTCGGGTTGGTACTTTCATTTTATTCTAGTAGTACCAGTGTGTGCGTGAGTGTGTGTGTACACGTGTCAATCCTTTTAGGAATTCATAGGATTATAATTACATTATATTATTACCTTTCACTGTAGCCAAGGTAAACATGCATTATATTATTACATATCATGGTAGCCAACATAAGCATACACATAAAGTCATCCAGGAGGAGCACACTATGTTTAACTTTCAGGAAGTATATGTTTTAGTGCGAAGTAATGAAAAATTAATTTTCTAAACTTTACAACTTGGTCAAGGGAATAATTTTGGCTTTTTCACTTTTCACTTATGTATACTTCAATAACAAAGATCAGATCTGATCCACTGAGTTAAAACTTAACCTACCTGTTCTCCATTTAAGCGGTGAACCTCTACCAACTCAAGGAAGACTGATAATCGATGACTTGTATCAACTTCAGTTTTTCTGTATTTTGATTTTGAGGAAGATCCAATTCTCCTCATTCCTGGTAAGCTCATTGCCATATGCAGAGTTTTAATTGCCTCTGCTATTTCTCCCATTTTCTTTTGCGACTGAGCTTTTATCAAATGATACAAAGGATATTCTCTCACCTGAAAAAATAATATTTAGTAATACTTCCCTCAAGTGCCTACAACATGAGCACATAATTTACAACTTATCAAACATTAAAATAATGGGATCATTGAGGAGTTTATCTGTGATTGTACGTATAAGGTCTATTTCCATCCTCTTGTTAACTTTCTGATCATTTATTGTATTAAATCAGATTCAGGGAAATTGCCACTACCAAGCATAGTCCTGATGACAGGTTGATTAGGTATTTCTACTATGACAGAAGACAAAATGCAGACAAAGTTCATAGGGCTAGCAAATACATTATAAGAAATAAGTTGATTTTATTTAGGAAAGGAATTTCTTTTATTTTTTATTGCTTATGAATATTCATGAGATACAAAGCTGATTGTAATCCCTCGTGCCCAAGATGTGAAGGGCAGATTCATACTGGCATTATGTCCATTGCCACAAATTGCATTTGTACCCCATGTGCCCCACCCAATTAGCCCCAACCTCTCTCCCCTCCTTCCCCCCCACTCCACTTTGTAGCCCAAAGAATGTTCTTTCCCTCTGCAAGTCCAACGCATCACTGTGGTCTTTCTTTCCTTCCTTCAGGAAAGGAATTTCTTTATGTGATATAAAGTTATTAGATTTCTAGAAACACAGTTTTTCCCCTTTCTTTTAGTTCTTAGTTTGAAGATTAAAAACTTTAGGACACTCTACCCTTTGATATTCCTCCTAAACATTTAGTAATGAAGCTTCTGTCTTCATTTTGGCTATTAACAGCATATGGAGAAAACACAGGAGAATGATAAAATGAGTGAGGAAAAAGAAGTCAAAAAAAAGGAGATGATCCAGAATGAGGTGATATGGCAGCCAGCTGACCATTAGGAAGTTGATACCCATCCCAAGCTTGCAGTTCTCAGCCTTGGCCAGGCACCACCTTTATCTAGGGGGCTTGGTGTGACTACTTTTGCTTGTGCTTCTTCCTCACTGGCTCAGAGATTACGATTCACCAGGGGTGGGGCACCAGCACCAGGGTCATGATGCACCACCAGTCTTGAGAACTACTGTCCTAAGATGCAGGGGTTATTTTTTGCAAATCTTGCCTAGAACTTGAATTTTTTAGTTTACTGAAGGGTTCTACTGTAACAGGATCCTGTGAGCCAAAGCAAAAGTTTAAGGAGCTCCTCCATGACTCTAGGTAGTTCAGGAAGCACCTGAACCTAAGATTTTCCCTAGTGCTGGAGGTAACACACAAAATATCTTAGACAGATATGTAGTGTGTTTATATCCCCAAACCACATAACTTTCAAAATGACCTGACATTCTTTGAAAAAGAATCTAAAAAGAAGTTATTAAAAATCAAGGTCTAAGGAAGAAACAGGCAATAACATTCATTATCCTTATTCAGAAAAATATTCGGCATAATGCTCTATAATTTACAATTACTTTTACATACATACATTATTCATGTAACTCTCATTGTAACGGTAAAGTATTATTATACATTAGTTTTATACTAAAGAAAACTGGGGCTCAGAGTGAGATACGTGGGAAGACCAGACATCAACCACAGGTCTACTGTCACCAAGTCCATATAGCTTTTTAACCACACCAGAGTTGCCTCCATTTTTTCTCCTATTTTTCATGAGTCCAAAATTATTTCCATTAAAAAATGCATTTATCAGCAAAATATTACAGGCTAAAATACAAAATAGTTTAAGCAGAAAGCTCAAAGAGGGTGATATGTCTTACCCACTTGAGTCTGGAATATTTACCTTAAAATTATAGCTCAGACAAAGTTCAAGAGACTGTGAACACAAGTTGAATTTTTCTTGAGACAAATAAACCTGAGCCATTAGGAGATGAGCATCTGCATAAGAGGGACTGTGTTCTAGGCAATGTTGCAGGTTATTATAAGCAGCTTCAATATCACCTAATGAAGGAAACAATGCACTGTTATAATGAAAACAACTAAGAGATGGAGATCTGAGAGAGAAGAGTTTAGCTTATGGATAATTCTAGTGTTTAAACTAAAAGTCCTTCATTCATAAAGCCATGATTTACTCTCCACCTGCACTAGTTAGCTTCGTTCTAGTCCAATGAAAGAATAAACCTGCAAGTCAGGCCAGCTCTTGATCATCAGGAGCAAATCAGGGAAAGCATGAAAAGATAAGAATCAATCACCAGTGTTACTTAGAGGCCTATAAATGTGCCCCTATTTATTTTCCTTGTCAAAAAAAAGTTTCAATAACAATTTCATTAAAATAAGATGTGTAAAACATAGCCATTTAAATACCTAGAATTCTGCTGTGTCACTTATGTTAACAAAGAGGATATAGTCTAGTAATCATTCTTGTCCAGAAACCTTATTACTACACAGAAAATAACAAAATGGGCATAAGGATATATTCCAGAGATTCAGAAATATGAGTTATAGATTTAAATTTATAGATTTAAAATGCCTTTAAGTACAAACTGAAATATCAAACACTTTGAAAAACACCTGCTATATATCTGGAAGTCTTAACGTGGGAGGAAATGATTAAGATTAAAGTGACAAGAACGGTGGAATCAACCCTGGGTTGTTAGATAGGACAGAAGAGGCTCTTCAGAGAAAAAATCAGCACAGACTTTAGGTCCTAGAAGTTTTTCATAATATAACCCACACAGATCTGCATTTAGCCATCTTATAAATTGGCCTCAAGTAGGCACAGCTAGGCCAACTCCCCATTCACCCTTGCTAGGAGAATGGAGAAAGAAGAGATCCTAAACCATTTTTTTGTTCAAATAGATTCCTTAACCTTACCTGATGCCACAACTGACAAAATAAGGCTTAAAGACAGAACTTCCTACTTCCCAAAGACTCAACGTCCTGGTAATAGAAATCCACTGAAACAGAAAATGTCTCTCTCAGAGACAGAGGATTAGTGGACAAATAATTGGCTGAAATAGCACAATAATAAACAGTGTCAAAGTTTGGCAATCAACCATCAAGCATAATTAATAATGTTAGATTATTTTTTATTGTGATGCAATCCAACACTCATAGCTGCACAGGTAAATAGAAAAGGAATAGTTAAGCATAAAAATTTGAGTGAAAATTCTTTTAGGAAGAAAGAGAATTAAGGAGATAACCTGAAGAAAGAGGTCATTACTAAGGGTGGAAAGTACATAGAAAAATAAATAGGCTTTGCAAATAAGAAACTGAAGAAAATGAGGACTATATTGAGATAAGAATCTTTCTTGTTTCTTTAAGGGTGAGGGGAAGGACATGTAGGGTTAGCATCAGAAGGCCACAAAAAATTTAAAAATGAGAACTGGGTCATCACTGCTGGAGAAAATATCCCATGTCAACAAAGATCAACATTTACATCACATTCTAATCTAAGAACAGCCCAATTTCCATTGAGGGAATACAGAAGACATTTCTGTCCTGCATATCTGTCTTTGTCAGGATCCTGTGTAATAAAGGCATTTGTTACCTGTCATTTGTCTCAAGTTCCTGGGAGGGAGCCTCCAAATCTTGGAATTTCCCTAAGTGATAGGATGTCTTTGTTATTCACGGTGGGCCCTGGGAATTATACTAATGAGGAGACTCATGGTGGGCCCCTAGGTAGGTTATGCTAAGGATAGAGGCTGGCCACACCAGAAAGACCAACCATGAGATTAGAAGGTTTGGGCTTTGAGCGATGTGATATCAGCCAGAGGGGGGCTGAAAATTGAGTTCAATCATGTGGCCAATGATTTAATCCTTGCCTACTTAATGAAATCCTAACAAAAACTCTGGACACCAAAATTTGGGTGAGCATCCCTGATTGGTAATACTAAACAACTGTCACAAATCGATACGTCAGGAAGGTGATGTGTCTTGACTCCAAGGGTAGAGGACAACAAAAGTTTTTCATATGGGACTCTCCCAGACCTCGCCCTGTGCATCTCTCCCTTTTGCTGGATCAGGTAAGAATACCGTCACTATAACAAAACTTTAATCATAAGTCTAGTGCTTTCCTGAATTCTGTGAGCCATTCTAGAAAATTATTGAACCTGAGGGGATTGGAGTAGCCCCCAAATTTGTAGCCAGCTAGTCAGAAGTGCTACAGAACTGCAGAGGCAAATAGAAATGGAATAGTTAAGCATAATAAACTTGAGTGAAAATTGTTCTGTTCAAAAGAACCCCCAACTTGGGGCCGGCCTGGTGGCACACTCTACAGTGCGCTGCTTGGGAGCACGGCGGCACTCCCGCCGAGGGTTCGGATCCCATATATAGACCGGTTCCCGCTCACTGGCTGAGTGAGGTGCGGGCGCGACACCGAGGGTTGCGATCCCGTTGCCGGTCCCGGTCCGGTACGGGCATGACACTGAGGGTTGCGATCCGTTGCCGGACACGAAAAAAGAAAAAAAGGAAAAAAAAAAAAAAAGAACCCCCAACCTGTGGCTGGTGTCTGAAGTGAGTGCAGTCTTATGGAGGACTGCACCTTTAACCTGTGATGTTGGCTCAACTCCAGCTAGTTGGTGTCAGAAGGCTTTGCGGTCAGCAATTTAGCAAGAACACTACTATTTAGATACATGACAGTACTATTTCAAATGATTTAAGGCTGCTTTTTTTAAAAATGGGGTCAATTTATAAAACTTTCATTCCTAGAGACTTTAGCAATTAAGCATTACTAGATTGTGACTGATTCATATTATCTTGCAGAATAATAAATATTTAATAAATTAATCACAGAAATCAAACTCCTAGTTTAACCATCTAATAGATGATATCCATTCCAATTGGGAGGAAAGTAGAAATATCACATGGTTCCATACTCAATAATAGAACTCCATCAAGAGGCATTACAGAGTCACTTGTGACAACTAGAGTATCTTAGTGGTGAAACAAGCTTTTGAGATTATGCAAGTTTTTTTTTAAACAGTTAAAACTAGAGTCCACAAAACACAGTAAAGGCAACAAAGTTCATAGAAAAATGGAATTAAAAGCTAACAAAAAATCTTACCATTAACTTTTTGAAGACCCCTCATATAAGAAATAACTATGAGAATACCTTTAGGTTGGTTTTTGTTCTTACGACTTTACAAACTTAATTTACTTTGTACAGCATTCAGCTGGTGAAGCACAATATGATGGTCTATTTTTATGTGTAAAGTCTTATGTTTGTCTGTGTCCTAAAAAGCTAAGATTACATCTGTGTTTACTTTATTATTATTATTATTATTTTTAGCTACTCATATACGTAACCATTCATAGAAACTAAATAGGAATTAATCAATACATTTCATAGGGGCTGAAACCTGGCAAACATTGCATTTAGTACGCCAATAAGTCAACAACTACGGATTAGACTGTAAATTCTTATTGTCAGTCCCCAGTACCAACTAACGGACTTTTTTTTTTAAAGTGGTACATGTGCCTTTTCCCAGCAATCCACTTGAACCACAAACGTTTATAGTCATTTTTAAAGAGTTAAATAGTTCCACAATTTTATTTTGAATTAGAATTATTTATGCACATGCAACATGTGCATTTTATGTGACTATTCTCCATATATGTGGAGTGTTTAATGTATTTACACCTATTTTTATCAGAGTCAGAATAAAAAGGTTATTTTAAGTTATTATGATATACTCTACCTGACAAATATTTGACTTTTGCTATTAGGAAAACAGCTTGCAGAAGACCTGGTACAGTTCTCACTATAATCTCCAAGACTGAGGAACAACGTCTGAGAAGTGAAGAAAGAGGCTGCCCGGGACTTGCAGGCTAAACAAAACAAATCAGCAGGTAATTTTATAAGTTCATAATAATATTTAGCTAAAAATAAATATATATTAATTTTAGTGTGGCTATCAAAACTATGTTTCTTTCTAAAATTTCTCTTATTCTATTTTATAACCTTTTACTATGATTGGACTTATACTAATTTATCTCTGAGGTCTTCAAACAGACTATGCAAATAATGGTTTTTGTTTAGCAAAATAATTTGAAACTATTTTACAATTAATTATTTGATAACATATGAATGGAGCATATCTATTCAAAAACTTTATCAAAGAAATATATCTGTTCAAAGGGAAAGATAACTGAAAGGTAGTTTCTTACTGGAATTGACAGAGCCAAGGTAATGAGTGTTCGAGTTCTAGACCTACTCTGTAATGTACTCGATTCAATTACTTTTACTACCCCTTAGAGTATTATAGTAAGTTTTTTTTTTTTTTTTTCCGTGTCCGGCAACGGACCGCAACCCTCAGTGTTGCGCCCGTACCGGACCGGGACCGGCAATGGGATCGCAACCCTCGGTGCTGCGCCCGCCTCTCACTCAGCCAGTGAGCGGGAACCGGTCTGTATGTGGGATCCGAACCCTCGGCGGGAGCGCCGCTGCACTCCCAAGCGGCGCACTGTAGCAGTGCGCCACCGGGCCGGCCCTATAGTAAGTTTTTAAAGAATTCAGATTTTTTTTCCCTAGCAGAAATCAGAAGGTAGAACACTCACGTGTACTATACCAAATGTCTAATACCTTCACTTTCCCCACTTTCCTGCCTGGCGTGTTGTATACCATCAAAGTTTTTTTTTTTCCTTCTTTTTATTAACAGTGAGTATGATAACTAAAGCAGTACCAGAACACTGGTTTACTCTCTTCAATTTTTCTTATTCTTATAATGGCTGTCTACCCAACCAATATTTATCCAATGGTCATCCAATCACAATGTGACACATTTCTAAATGTGACACTAGAATTTAAATATCAAATGTTCATTCACCCTGCTTTGCCTTACTGATGCTGTTTCCTTAATATGAAGGATGATCCTTCCCTTCTCCACCACCCTCCACCAGACACATAGCTGGAACTGTGTCTTCTTAAAAATAATCATTCCTATAATGAGCCATTGTTACAGACAAGAAAATGCTACATCTCCTCACCTATGTTGAGACACAAAAAATGTGTGCTCAAAAAGATATTCAGAATATTACTACTGTTGCCTAGAATACTTCAACTGTAAATTTCTATAGCACATATAATAAAGTTTAGTGTTGTGTAATTTATTTCATACAGTTCTACAGTAGTTTCACATTTAGTTTTGCTTCTTTTATAGGACTAAGGGTCTTTCTGTGTATTGAGGATTGGGATTTTATGATTCTTTGCATACAATAGATATAGAATAAATTCTTTAAAAATATATACTTTTTTCAGCATAACTGAAAAGTATAAGTAATGGTTAGGTTCTTATAATGTTCTTGGCCACCTGCTAAGAATGAGTTATTGAGAATGACCATAATTTTTACTACAGTTTCAGTGTGCAATCAAAGAAAAAATAGAAGAACACAGGAAAGCATTAAGACAACATTTGTTCAATTAAAATTCAAAACAAAACTATATCTACTGTGGAATATACTAAAAAGCATATGTACTTCACAGGGCCTGGTTTTCCAAAGCCTTGC